AAATCTGTTGCAAATGATAATAATTTAAAAAAAGCTGGAGGCTGAAGTTCAAGTTCAACCATCTAAACGTTTCCCAAAGGTAATGCTTCTTTTTCATATCAAGTTATTTCTTTTGTAGGATATATGCATCTTTTAGATCGGATTAGCCCAAATTAAATAATTAAAAGTGAGAAAACACCCTAGTGGTTAAGTCAAACGGCAGCTCTTATAAGGTAACAGTCTTTTTCACAAGTCCACTTGGTGTGGAAAGTACTGAATTAACAAGTGTGTTTATTCCCTGTTAAATTCTCATTTAAAGAAAGCAACACCTCTTTCTGTTGCTACATTAGCTGGAAAAAAGAAAACATGTAAGTGTCACTGCAAGCTATTTTGTGTCCAATATACTTTCACTTCATTTTCTCATTCTTACAGTATGGAGCTTTGTCATCTCTGAGCCAATTCAGAAGGAAGCATGACTATTATGCAAAGGCATGTGAGAGGAAGTCTAATGATTGTATAGAAGCCATTCTGATCGGTTAACTTACTTGAAGCAGTAGGCAGTGGTGAGAGGTTTCAGAACCCCCTGTGTCTGGCTGTGGTCTGTCCTGTACAGAGGGTTTGTGTATTCAGCCCTGTTCTCCCACAGGTGCGGCCACAAAGAGTGCGTTCGCTCCTGTAACCTGCATAGTTCACAAAGAGGGAGGCTGAATGAGTAAACTAGCACATATAGGTAATGAAACCAAGATGGTCCAACAGTTATAATGAGAAGGTACATTATGTTTGGAACTAGATTCTGTATCAAGGGCTTACCACAACCATAAAAAAATAAATATATCTGACCCTCAGCTATTGAATGCTACAGATGGTTACAACTTAAATTGAATATTCAGTCAAATCTGTGTTGTCATTTGTAAAATGTTTTGGATATTGCTTGAGATGAGAACCCTTTTTTGAAGTAGGTATACTATTGGCATGTTTATCTGGTCCACTTTGGAGGTTAGTCTGGTGATCAACTGCCCACTTAGACAGGAAAAGACCATCTAAACAACATTTAAAGGGATGAACCATATAGTTCTCATTTTGCTGATTTAAGTAATCCAGGTTATTTCTCTGACCAGTTACTTGTTCTTCTTTAAGGCTTCCACACCAAGATGTGTATTGACCTATTTTCCATGTCACTGGCACCAGCCGGACCTTCATTAGTGGCTTTTTCGGCCAATTGAGCATGTTAAATTGGCGTCGGAGCCCACCGATCTGATTGGCTGCTCATCTTAGAGAACCAGTGTAAGAGAAGAAAACGGAAGTGATGAAAGCAAGACTTTCCCTGCATCCAAATATGCCAACTTCCCTACTATATAGCAGTCAAAAACAGTATGTGAGGCAAGAAGTATGTCTAGTTTTCATAAAACAACAGGTGAAAGTACTTGGATGGCCTACTAGTGTATATCTGATGAACTCTTTACTATCCCATGAGGCCACAGAAGAGGAGTTGTGAATGGCAGTGAAGCGACACGACGGATGCTGGTAGATCACATGAAAGTGACAACATGGCGGACATAGTACATCCAAATTTTCATACTACCCATATTCATACTATATAGATAGTGGCAGATTTAGGCATGGGTGACATGGGCAACCGCCAAGGGCAGCATTTAGCCAGGGGCGGCACAGGGTGACAATATGTCTCTGTTAACCTGGTCAATTAACCTGGTCGGGACTCAGAGTGTGTGTCAGGAACATACTTTTTAAACAGTTTTGTAGTGCCTACCAGACAAAATGTGATTTTAGATGCAGCTTTGTGTATTTGTGTGTATCCCCAGTCGGTGAACGTGATTTCACCAAGTACAACATGTTCCTGTGGAACAACATTCCAATCAACCAATCAGAATTGAGGGATGTTTTCAAGAAATGTCAGTTTTAGGCTTTCAATCAGGGTTAGATGCTTCTACGCCCTTGTTATTCACCTATCATTTCCCTCTGATTTTA